TTTGAGATGTTTGGAAATACCTCGCGAGGAAGTTCCTCATTGTAGAGCCACCGGGGAGGGCAGTGGGGGCTCCACGTCGCGCCGTGGGAGGGGATGCAAAACAAGCGGCACCACCGTTAAGCAATTTCCCGTCAGCGGGGCCCGTCCACGCTGCTCGGCCGGCCACATCTGAACGGAACATCACGCTCTTGTCACGCTCGCTGAGGTGAAACAGGGGAAATTTGGCATCCTTGGTCAGCCCCGAGCGGGGAGGTGACGCTCTGCTCTTGTCCCTCAGACATTGGCAGGGTGATGCCAGCTTGATCCAGAGCCATGTCCAGGTACCTGAAGCACTTCACAGTGGTGGGGGACGACCCCGTGCAGTGGAGCAACGACTATCAGAAATGGGAGGAGGAGGAGGAGAAGGCTGGGGAGAATGGGGAGAAGCAGCCAGATTCGGAGATCAAGCTGGAGCCCACCAGGAGCCACATCTCCTTCCAGGATATGATGAAAAAGCTCTTCAGCTCCCACAGGTTTCAGGTGAGGCAGAACAAACCCAGGCCAAAGGGAGATGAGGGCGAGACTTGGCCAAAGGCGCTTGTGACAGCAGAACCAACGTGGGATAGAGCTCAGGGCGGGCTGGGAGCGGCGCTGAGCTTGTGAACGCTCGTGGTACCCGTGAGAGCGGCTGCTGTCTCCGAGCTGAGCCGTCCTGTTGGAAACGAGCCGCTCCGCCACGGGCGCAGATGTTTCCTGAGCGGTGACAAGCTTCAGTGCACGCTCGTCACGGCGCGGGAGGAGGCATGTGCTCTCCCCCGGCTCGAGCTCCCCTACGTCAAGCGGTGGGAAACGGCTGGGTTTGGTGGGGAGCCACGTGGGTTTGTACAGGTGAGACTTTGCAGGAATAACCCACCGACCACGGGCTGCGGGAGTGGGGGTCCTGGGTGGGAGCAACAGAAAGCTCCGTGAAATGCAACCAGCCAAATCGGGGATGCAGGGCGTTGGGACATGATTAGCTGAAGGCTGCATCGGCTCATCCTGCTGATCTGTCCGTGCTGGGAGAGGGTTCACATCGGTTCTTCTCCTCCGACAGATCCTGGTTGTCTGCTTGGTCATCCTCGATGCCTTGTTGGTCCTTGGGGAATTGCTTATGGACTTGAAAATCATCCATCCAGACAAATATAATATAACCCCAAAGGTAAAATGCAAGGAAATGTCAATGTGAACCACGATTTCCCTCTCTTTGATGTTCAAAGCCCGCTAGAGAGGACGACTGGGCAGGCAGGACCTGGACCTTCAGCCTTGCCGAGCCGGCAGTCGCAGGCGCAAGGACGAAGGTCTCGCAGAGACTCGTGTGACGGCCCTGCAGTGTGCGGGGCCCTCCTGGCTCAGCTCATGCCAGTCCGTGCAGCAGCTGCGTGTTTCCTCGGGCTGCGGCAGAGCTGAATCGCTCTCAGCATCCTTCTGGTCATCTTCACACCTCCTGGTCTGGCTTACCCAAAGCACTGGCTGCCCAGCCATGCTCGCTCTGGGTGTCCTTTAGAGCAGAAGAGAAGTCCCCAACCCTCCTCCTCATAGAGTCAGATCAGACGTGCCCTGGAGCAGTGGAGGTTTTCCAGCCTGCCCCGCTCATGTGCATGCAGGAGGGGTTCCTGGCCCTAAACTTGCGCTGTCTTTTCCCAGGTTTTCCATTACCTCTCCCTTTCCATTTTAACCATCTTCCTGGTTGAGGTGGGGTTTAAAGTCTTCGTCTACCGCCGGGAGTTCTTCCACCACAAGTTTGAAGTGCTGGACGGGATCGTCGTGGTGGTGTCGTTCATCCTCGACATCGTCCTCATCTTCCAGGAACACGAGTTTGAAGCTGTCGGGCTCCTGATACTCCTGCGGCTGTGGCGCGTGGCCAGGATTATCAACGGTAGGCGTGCGTGGCCGGTTCCCTGGTGCGTGGGCTGGATTTGCCGACCTTGCCTGAATTATCGGGGCTCGCGTCTTTGTTCTCAAAGCCATCTGCAAGACCCCGGGCTCTTGCTTTCCCAGCGAACTCGGAGTCTCACCCATGCGGTTTTCGTTGCTGGAGTGTGGCCTTAATTAGGCTGTAATTTCTTTGGAGCAGCACTAATCTGTTGCGTGTGTTGGGGCGGTGCATCAGTGATGGGGGCACGGCAGCTGGCCCGGGCTAGCGGAGATGCCCAGCTCTAGCACGGCAGCATTGGCACGTTCCCCTAAAAAACAACCCGTAAACTGTTCTTGCATCCCTCCCTCCTGGAGGGGGATGGTTCACATCTTAAGTTTGTGTCGTAGGATCGTTTTGGCGACACTTTAACAGGGGAGCAGGGTAAACCTCTGCCTCCCTGAATCTACTTCTGAGGCAGAGTAGGTTTTACTGCTCTGATGTTCTGCTGCGACTCCGTCATCCCCTCCAGGGATGCTGCAGAGAACATCCTGATCTTACTCTGGATCTTTCTCGCTTGGATTCAAAGGGTTTACTATAAAAAGAGGAATAAAAAAATGTCCCCAGATCAGACTTTACTGACTGTGCTGTTGTAACTGTAAACTGTTGCAAATAGATGTAAATTCAGACGCTTCTGAAACAACTGTAGCTGGAAACATTTTCTTCCTTCTCTGGGAAAGGGATTTAAAAGATGTGGCAATGAGATTATGCCTAATTCCTGCAGGAAACCTCAGCCCAAGTGCTGTCCTGTGCCTACGAGTGCAGTTTTGGTGAGTGCTCTGTACTCGATGCAGCTCTAAGTCTCGTTAGTTGGAATAAAAGCAAAGGATGGCTGGGGCTGAGTCCGTCACCTGCAGCCCCCTGCTGCCATTTTGAAGGGGAGAACCTGCCCGATCGGCGGCAGTGGCCGGGGAGAGGGAAGATGTGAGAGCAGCTCGCGGCTTTTCTTAGTTCAAAGTAAAAGTCAGAGAGAAACCGGATTCGTGTGCGGCTGCTCTTAACACGCCGTTTTACAGCAGAAGAATAGGATTGCATTTACAAGTAAATCTCCTTATCCTTGGGTGCTTCTGGTTTTCCCCCCCAAGTTTCTCGCCATGCCCGCCCGCTTGGAGCAAGAGAGGAGACAAAGAAAACCTGCCCCAAGCTTCGGGTGTTGTGTGTCTATGTCTGGGCACGGTTCACTGCCTTCAGTCGCTGTTGATTGATGGGGACCGGGTTACGGGCAGGTGGGGACTGTTTGGTGTTATCAATGCAAATAAGTAGCTCGCTGCTTTGTCTTCAGAGAAATGAACCCCCAAACCCCAAGCCTGTTGCTTGTAGCACTAGAAACACAGTAACGCATGGGTGCCTGCCTTCGTGCACGTTGTCCTGTCAACAGCCGGAGGAGAGCTCTGTCAGGTGGGAAGAACGTGATGTTCTTGATGCTCTTACCAAGCTTTTCTTCCCCCCCCTCGGAAAAGGGTGGGAAGAAAATGCCTTTGCTGTGGGGGCTGAGTTCACATGTAATAACCTAACAATATTTCAGTAGAGAAGTGACACCTCCGCTGTAGCGAAAGACTGCGTGCCCTTACCGCAGCCGTGCAAGGTGAAGCCAAAACCTTAAAGATGTGCCATGTCCTGTTACACCAGGCAGGAGCGATCGGCCCCAGAGCAGGGGACAGAGCCGTGTGCCCCAGGCTGTGCCGTGCACTGCTGTTAGAGCAAGGCTCCTGAGTACATGAAACCGGCTAAAACGCAGCCCCTCATGATTACAAAGCTGCCAGTTACATCCCCCCCAGGCTCTGCCAAGGGAGCAAATTCAAATTCAGGATTTGAATGACAGTCTGACTGATTAATTCAGCTCAGAGGCCAGACTGCCTCTTCCCAGCAGAGTGTTGGTATCTGAATCCCTGGGGTGGCTAATTTAAAACCCTCCTCATTAAGAAAAGCACTTGGGAAGGGTGGTTTGAAGAGGACAGAACCAGAGCTCAAGAGGAACACGTTTAACTCCTTGAGTACAGACCCTGTGAACTGCTAACCTCCTGCTAGTGGCTGTTTTACCTTGTAAAACGAATCCACTGTGAATTTTTTCACAGGAATAATTTTATCGGTAAAGACCCGCTCTGAACAACAAGTGTCCAAGCTAAAGCAAGCAAACCTGACACTTGCAACAAAGGTTGAACAACTGGAACACAGCTGTGTAGAGAAGGTAAGAAAACACCTTTAATTTAAGCAAGGTTTACCCGCTGGTTGCTCCCCAGAACAAGCTGGCCTGGGATCCTTTTGCAAGGTTGCCACTGTCAGCTCGGTTTCCTCACCAGAAAGTTGTGGGGTAAGCTGAGCTGAAGAACCGCAGCCCTGCCTGTCCTGCCCGTGCTTCCCTTTGCTGCTTCCCTTGCAAAGGAATGACGGCTACCTCTGTCCTACTTACTTTAGCCAGGTTGTCCTGTTTTACTGCAGCATGAGATACATTACAGCAGTGGGAAGATCTGTGGGATCCTGGGAAACTATTTTAAGGTAAAAGAGCTGTATTAATGATTTTACTTTGTCTCCTACAGGAGCAAGAAATTGAGAGGCTTAACAAGATATTAAAACAGCACGGACTCATCAGTGAGCAAAAATAGGAGGCCAGTTTTCCGAGGTGGGGAAGTCTGCCCTGGAGAGCGCAGTGTTGAAATCTACCAGTTTGACCTGAAAGGTTTTCCTGTCTCTTTGCTTTCTCTTGTATAGTGTTGTCTATAAACATTTTCTATTTGACCACACTTTGATTAGATCTTGGGATTGCAAAAATAATTTTGCTGGAAAATTAATCACGCATACTCCCTGTAAACAGTGATTTCATAAGAAGTTTCTTGTACAGTTGTACAGTCAAAACTGCAAATTAATTTAATAAAGACACATCTTTAGAAGCTATACATCCACAAAAGTACCACTTATTTAAAATAATTGATTTTTTTCTGTGATAAAGTTCTTTGTTTGCAACATCTTGTAGAAACTTGCGGTACAAATGATAAGAATCCAGGCTGAAAAGGTCATTTCTTCTCTACGAGCTGACCGTTCATCATTAGTACATCTCTTCTTTGCCAACCATTCTTTCCATATTGTTGGTAGTTTCCTCATTTTTGTTGCTGCTTGTGCCACTTTGTTATTTATATAACGTTCATTTCAAAAATACCAACATACCACTCCTTTAGTTGACAATCAAATCAGCACCAAAACAGAGGCAAACATGTGCCATCTTACGTCAAACAATGCCTTGTTTTCAGCAGCAGATTTGAGTTCTGATACCATGTTCTCTCATCTCTTCTTCCATTTTAAGTGTTAGTTTGCGGCCTGCTGGGCTACAAAGTTCTTTCTGCTTCCACAGCTCACAAATCAACACATTAAAAGAATTAGAATATGTAAGAACAGATGTAGGTGAGTGGACTGCTGGCAACAGTTAGACTCCAGAAAAGCCATTAGAAAGCATATTCTAAAGGACCAGGGGGGTGTTTGAACACAACGTGAACTTTCTCAGGTACTAGAAGGTCCCTGTGGTGAGACTATTTTATAGTCGAAGAGTAAGATTCAACAAGTGGGAATTTTTGAAAGGTGTTGACCATAGCAGGCGTCTCCAGTTGATTTCAGCCAGAGTCAGCTGGAAGGGTCACTAAGCTTTTCTGAAAGCGTAACTTAACTGTTCGGATTTTCAAAGAAAGGTAATTAATTAGTGGTTTGGGAAAAAGAGCTAGAAATATGTGGCTTATTCATCTATGAAAACAGATAAAGCAGAGGCCTTATCTAATAGCACATGATTACTTTAATTAACAATTTAGCTCTGCTGTTCACAGAATAACGAAGCCTACTTTCCTCTGGAGCTTACTATGTCCCTGTGCTCTTCCCTTCCCCTCCTGCCTTCACACTGCTAGGCAGGCAGCTCGGACCAGCGCTACTTCAGAGCATCCGATGTGCTGGAAGGCTGGTGGCTGTACATGTGCTGACTGGCCAGCTAGAGCCACCATCGAGTTCATAATGCAACCTTTTTTTCCTCTCGGCAGAGGTATAATTGGGAACTTTCCACTTAATGTGGGGGTTTTTTTCTGCCCTAAAGCTTCTGAGAACCCTCACAAGGGCTCACCCTTTCTCTCTTGGCCAATTTTAACCCAGTGTGTCTGCAATTTAGAAGAAACTGATGGCCCATCACAATGACTGGATAAACCTTACTTCTTTGACTAAAAATCAGAAAAAGCAGAAATACGGCTTTTTTTTTTTTTTTTTGATGCATACTTACCTTAGACAAATGGAAAGAAAAAATCAAAGGGTAACTTGGCATTAATGGTGGGCCAAGCTTTATAGCCTGGCTCTGCAGATGAAGAAATATCAGTGAAAACCACAGAACTTGTTATAGGAATAGTCCTCTCCCTTCCTGAGGGAAGCTGCAATGAAAATACAAATGGTCATTAGCTTCAGTCTTCTCTGTATGACTGCTTTGTTTGGACTGGGTTATATTTTTAGCTGTTATTTGTAAAAAGTTTTTTTT